GTCTTTTTCTCCATAGTTTTCATTTATTTTAATTAACTTCCTATCGCAAAAAAATCGAAAATGAACATTTTTATATATCTTTACGTTTAAAAGGTTTTTGAACATTCTGGCATAACTTATTGTTAGAAAAAATGGATGTATGTGTATGTGTGTGCGGATACAAATTTTCGTCGACGATTTTAGGAACACCGATCAACCGATTTGAATAATTAAAAAAACATTCGATTCGTATTGATAATGAGACGTGCTGATTAGCTTTTGGCGAAGGCAAGTCCGGCCGTTCCAAAGATACGGACAAAAAGTGCCAAAAACGATAATTTATAATTCAAAAAACATTTTACTTGTATTGACAATGTACGGTACAAGATGAAAAACTGTTTAAATTTTTAGGAAGGCAGGTCCAGCGGTTAGAGACTCTCAATAAAAATAAGTTAGAAAATGTCATTTGGCGGTCAAAAATGGTTATTGGACATATGTACATCAAATAATCAGATATTTTATAAAATATAAGAGATTTTAATAGTGTATACACATTTTGTGTAAATTTGGGTTTTGTACCAAGATTTTTAATTACGGTACGGAAAGTTCCAGCAATTTGCCTTTAGGTACGACGATGCCAAGCACCACCACTAGTTTTTTCGTCGCTTTATTCAACGTCTCGGGGGGACATGGGATCTCCTTGAAGTTCCTGAAAGAGGCCTCTTTCAGGAACTTCAAGAATAATTAACAATTTTTCAATTCAAACACTTAACATACAACAAAATTCACTAATGAATTTGATGAATTTTGAAATAAGTTTTTATAAACTCAGTATAGTGAGTTTTGATGTAAGTTGAGTGTTTGAATTGCAAATTGGTTGTCATTAAGGGAAGGCCTGCTTTATAGGCTTCAAAAAATCGCTTTTTGGGGAATTTTTAGAGAAGAGAGATATTGTTATATATCTTATCATTCTTCTCAATTTTTTTCATTAAAATATAAGACATTTTGCCGATGCGCCACGAGCGTGCCGTGTCATTTGGCGGGAAATATGCAACGACTTAAGTCACAATTTCCATCCAAAACAAAAAAAAATCAAATCAAATATAAATTTTCAATAGTATAGATTCTTATTGAACCTAAAAAATCCAGAAAAAATGAGGAATTCACCAATTTGCAATTTGACAAAAAATGTTTTTTGAAACAAAATTTCGCTTTAGATTGTTTGAAAAGTGGGTTAATTATAACTTTTTTAGGTTTTTTTAAGGTTTAATTAGAGAAAGAATTTACTCCTGAATACAATGAATTTTGTTTCGATTCGACAGGACCGTTTAGTTTTTTCGCCATCTTTCCCGCCAATTACGAAGAATCGAAAAAATTAAACCTGAGAAATTGTGAAACATGTTTAACGCTTGCTCACTATTTCTTCTGTAATTCCGAAAATAATTTGAATTTGGTTTTGAAATTTTAGGGATATATTCTTGGCTAGTTTTGGAAAACATTTTTGCAAAAAAAAAATATCGATTTTTTTAAGCCTCTAAAGCAGGCTCCCCCCTTAATTTGCTGAAGAAGGGGCCATCTCATATCACCGAAATGTTGAATATAATAATAGAACAAAAATTGAATAAATTAAAAAAAAATAGAGAGAAAAGGATGATATTAATTAATATCATAGTTAACTTAGTTTAAGAGTCATATTTAATAAAAGCTATCTAGATCTAGATATAGTTTTCGAAAACTTAAACAGATAATTCAAATGAGCCTAAATGATTGTCCAAATGTTTTATGAGTGTAGGTAATGCAAAAAATATATTTTTCAGATGAATTCATCAATGGTTTCGAAGTCGCAAGCTGTAAAACCCGATCTTACTTATAGTGGTCTCGATCGAGTGATTGCAGACTCTTTTATTAAATCATATAATAAACCAGAATCAAACGCAATAACGGATACTAATACAAACCTGAACGCTGATTTATGATATTAACAAGACGTGAAAAAAGAATGTTAACATTCTTATAATTAGAAATCAGATGCAATCTACAAAACCTTCCTTAGCCGGTGCAATATAATGAATGTCGATAAAGTTATTTCAAAAAACCTATTACATATTAAAACAATTTGTCCATTTAGTGCGATAACACTTTACTATTAATGTATTCATTTTTCAGTTAACTAAAAATTAAAATACTTTTCAAAATTGTAAAAGTTTACATAGTTTATATATTGTATATATATATATATATATATATATATATATATATATATATGTATATTTATTAGTTCAATATATTTTATTATAGTACCGCTTGATTTAATTGACTTTAAAAATATGATTGATTTTGTATATTATTTTAGATCTTAAACCATTTGATATTATTTTATGGGTTAATACAAACTGTAATAATTATTAAATATAAATATTATAGGAATGGCATTCTCATAGCAAATTTATTTTTAGATTTTTTGGACATATGTATAATATGTCCTATATATATGTATAATATTGTATAAACTATAGTATTATATATATTATATAGTATTATTATATATATATATATATATATAATTAGTTTTTACAGTTTATGAAAGAAATTATCCTCATACCATCACATTGCATAGGCAGTGAAAATTATAAGACAAATAGAATGTATTTTGTTGTAAAATGAAAATTAACTTTTATATAAAACTTTATAGTTTTATGTATATACTTTATAGTTTATATTGAGAATATTTTTATATATATAAGAATATATAAATACTGTTAATTTTATGAAAAATCATAAACCACTTATTAAAAAATATATATAAATAAAAGTTTTCTATTAATGCAAAATATTTTATTAGATACTAATTTGTTTTATTAATTATAATGTATTTATATATATATATATATATATATATATATATATTTATATATATATATATATATTTTTTTTTTATTTCTGTTAATTTTAACAATCAGATTACAATACAATCTATAAGTTAAAAGTTATGGTATTGAAAATCAAAATCAAAAAGAAAAAAAAATAGAATAAAGGAAATTAAAGAAAAGAAATAGAATAAATGAATGAATAAAATATATATATATATAATTATATTACATATCAGAATGATAACTAGAGTCAGTTTTAACTTTTTTCTTGATTTCTGATATTTTATTATGTAAATCTTCCATGCTGTATTTAGTTTTAGTATGAAATTTGATATTCTTATTGAAATTTGTGTATTTGTCTATCTGTTGAGGTAACTTTGCAGAATCATTTTTCCAGAAGTTGGAGTATTCAGGAGAAATTGAATCTAATTCTAAAATTCTGTCCTCTATATGTTTCAATCTAGCATATATATCAGAAGACAAGGGACGATCCACACCAACATGCTTCTCGCAATTTGTGATACGCTCATTAACTGAAATTGGCAAGTCAGAAGTATGTTTACTAATACATTCATCAATATTAGTTGAGGACTTTGAAATTTGGGGTCCCCATTCATTTACTACTTTATGTATTTTCAAATGACTTTTTGAGTCCGATCTTTTCCATAGAACTGCATCAACTCTTGCACACTGATTCTCATTGGAAATGTTTTGCTTAGAAGCTTTCATTAAATTAATTTGAACAAATTCCTTAATATTTCTTTGGTTTATGGCTGTCCTTTTCATTTGAATGAAGTTTTCAATCCTTCTATTAATTTCAAAATTATTGGCTTTGATTTGAATTAAATCCGGGGATACATCATCAATTTCAACTAAATCATGATTTAATTTATTCTGATTTTTGTATTGAATATTACCATAAGTATCATCTATGAAATCTGATGGATCAAATGATTTAATTTTATTTACAGCGAACTGAATAACATCTGCAGCATCTGACACGGATGATGAACTAACAGCTACAATAAAGCTAATTTCATTTATATTTAATAACCCTATTTTTTTGTATATGGCAATGTGCAGTATACTTTTCCATTTACAACGAATTTCAAAACAAGTGTGATGAAAATACTTTTTAAATTGATCATTTTCTGTTTCATCATCAAAACTTTGCATAATAATTTTATTCCTTTCAACAAATAGAAGGTCAGAACTGGAATCTGTATGTGATACAAGATCATTCACTTCGGATACATTTAATGCATCCTTGGAACACTTAATAAAATTCATTAATGCTGTCTTAAAATAAACGAGACACTTGTAAATTGATAAGTGCTTAATAGCCAATAGCGAACTTGATTAACGCGAATTTAATATAAAATCAAATGTGCGATTGTGTTACAAATAAATAAAAATCAGAAGTAAATAAATTTAATTTATATACATAACATGCAAATGTTATACTTGATTATGAGAATATAACCTCATTTTTTATATTGTGAAAGAAGACCTTAGAACATCTAGAATCAGTCAAGAGGCATTCAATTTCGCTCTGTCGAAACAAATCAAATAGTCACAAAAACCAAATTAATGGACAATGGCTTGAAAACATGGTAATCAGCATTGTTTATTAATCGTAATCACAATCGTGGAATACATTATGATACATTATCATTGTCTAGGGTTGAATATATGCGTAAAGGTGCATCCACACCTCACGAACGAACACTAATAAACATGGCTACAGACATTATGTTTATTTATCTATGGCTACAGAATTTTGACACATGTTGCTAACTTTAATTGCTTCGATTGTCAAAGAAATTTTCGTGAATTAATATGTTCTCGCGTTAATTAAGACTTTTTAATTAAATCTTTGATTGGATTCTGTTAATTTGTACATCAACTCGTTTAATTAATTTAGCAGATAATAATGATATAGGAAATTCATCGCGAAATGTTCATAAAAAGTAAAAAAATTGGGTGTGTTGTCGAAGTACCTAGGTTGTACCTTGAATAGTTTGATAAGTATCTCTTTCAGGGTCTCCATTTTAAATCAATTTTATAATTAAACAATTTTTTCACAGCGCCAATGTATCCTTCAATTATATACATGCAATTATCAATATTAAAATTTATATATGTGCTTTTGTAGGTTATACTTAAGTACTTCTACCACATATCTGTTTTTATAGAATTCTAAATTCACGAAAGTCTCTAATATAAGTTTTGTGTCGTGTATTGTGTAAAGATTTTACTCGGACAATTGCTACAGGTCAAATAGACTTGTAAAAGACTAAAGTTATGTACTGGTTCTAAAGTAGTGATTTTGTGTCGAGTACTTGAGTTTTCTAGCAGATGCTCCAGAGGTGGTTCCAGTAATGACCCAATAGCGAGTCAAAGAATATTTTTCTGGAATCATATACAGGCATTTATCGTACTATATCTGTTGCACCTATAGTGTTTTATATATTCAATATTTAACCTATATATGTATATATATATATATATATATATATATTATATATATATACTCGTATATATTTATATATGCATTAAGTTTTTCTTAATTTTGAATTTAAAGCAGTCAAATGATTTTGAAAATCTTTACTTTAACACAATATTGTTTGTCATCTTATTTAGGTAAAACTATAATTTTAATAGAAATTCATAAAAAGATATTACTTATAATTTATGTTCTGAGAGGAGTTTACAATTATTGACCGAGTTTGTGTTACATGCTACTTTTTATGTTTGTAACAATAATATTTCTTATTAATTATGTATTTGTGGGAGTAGTAATGTATATTAAAGTATAAACCTCCATCGTATAAAAATATATAAATTTTATTCATTATAAAATATTACTGATATGAAAATATGACAAGTCCAATTGTTTTCCTCTATCTCCAATGACTAGCCTGCTTGATCCCCACACATGGATATGAAAGTATAAACACCACTTGTACAAAATTTTATAAATTTTATTGACTATAAAAATTAATGCTATGAAATTTATCTGACAAGTCCAATTGTCCAATGACTAGCCTGCTTGATTCCCACATATTTAATACATGTTTTTCATATTAAATGAAATCATAAAAATTAATTTGAAGGTGCCTTGAGAACTTTACTTTGTTATTCAATATTATTTATAAAGCAGTCTGTATATATTTTAGTGAAATATTTTCTGGCTCGTGCATTATTAATATAATTATATACATATATCTGCTGAAAATATTGTTTATATCATAATATTCGAGTCAATATCATTTTTTACATAGTATACCTTATACAATCTATTTTTTATTCAACGAATATAATTATGCGAATAAAAGATTTTAAATTAATTTGGCAGATATATGTGCAAAAGACTTAAGTTCTTATTTAATTTGTTATGGGGAAAACATGTTGATTCAGTCTTTTTTTAATTATTTACACAAGTGCCTTTTATACATGTTCTAAATCAATATTAAACAATAAAATTTGTACTTCTCGTATGTATCAATTACATTGAAAGTAATTTATTATATTACAATTCCATAAATAGTCAATCACAAATTTTTGTTCTATGAATAGCAGATTTTGCATGGAATTCAGAATTATTATTTATATTAAATTTTTGTTACTAAATTATTAGTTAACCAATACAGCTTTTTGTATGCATCGATTACTTATTTGTTGAAGGGGTCCTAGCACCCCACCTTAGGTAACTCCTAAATTGATGGTATTTTGTTACAAATTACAAATTACAAATTACTTTGTTGCTTTTCTATTACACCTCTTGTTTATTATTCCACGGAAACAATTTTTAAATTACATTTTCAGTATCAAGAATCATGTGTTTTCCCTGTAGCGACATTGTCTGCATGTACATTCTTATTTATGGAAAATACGATTGTTGGTTTTGATCAAAATATTTCAAATATTCAATACAACTTAACAATTGTTAATTAAATGCAGCTTTTAAAAGTCTTTTTCTGTAGGTTTTATTTTAAATTTATTCGATTATATTTCTGCATAGCTAAATTATAGATTTTTATTCTTTTATTACTGAAAACAATTTTGATCAAGACTTTCAATCGAAGTTTCAAAGAGTTGACTTGAATGATTAGACAAAACATAAATTTATTTACGAGTTTATTATTCGATTCAATTTTTAAAGGATAACAATCAGCTTTAAACAGTTTTGAAGTTTTTAATGTTCAAGTTTTTGAACTTTTTTTATTATTTCATTTTACAAGTTTTATTGAATTTCTCTTAAGGCTTTTTCCAATAATTTGTATATTATTCAAGTCAACCATATTTATTTTTGTCTCGATTAATTGTAAAGGTTTCACATGTTTTATCAAGTCATATAAACAATTTTGATTCGATTAATATCACTTAATTTTATCGATTAATTAAATAATTCTTTCAAAGAATTTTTTTTTTTTTTCTAAGTCCTTTCAGATAATTTTTTTTTCTAAGTCCAAATTTTGTGAAACCTTTTCGATTAAGACAGACGAGTTATTTATGCATGCTATATTATCCCAAAGCCAACATTCGAATGAATGAGACCCACATTGAAAATTTCATAACGAGAAAATTTTATTGGGGCAAAGTTAAAAATTTTAACTAAGTCCCAGTAATTTTTTCTCGTTGTGAAAATTTCAACGTGGTCTTCATTTCATTCGAGTGTTGGTTTTGGGAATTGGTGTGAGGGAACACTAAAAAACATAAAAAAGTTTCAACGTTGAACAGGAAAGAGAAATTTTCATCTGGGACTTAGGGGGTTTTTTTTTAGGCTTCCCACCTCCCCCTTCTCCCTCTTCCTCCTCCTTCTTCCCCCTTTTTTCGCTTTTTTTTCATATTTTTTTCCTTTTTTGGTGTTGTTTTTTTCACATGTTGTGGTATTTTTTGAAGATCTTCGGGTTCGGCATGCATCGTCCGCAATGTGTCTCTCTGTGTGTAACCTCTCGCATCATGATCCTCACGTTGACCATCACTTCGCGTGTATGTTTCAGTACCTCCGCGCGTCTGCCAACAGCCAGCCACCAGCACTGTTCCATTTTTTCTGCTTCAGAGTTGGTCGTCGTCGTCTCCAGCTGGATTCGACCCATCTCACCTTGTGCCTCCAGAGTGATGTCACCGAGTATGCGGTCACCTTAACCACTCGGCTATTTGATATATTGATGATAACAGTTATTTTTATATTCTTATCATGTATTAATATTGAATTTTAATAAAGTATATATATCATACCCATCTCTCTTATTCATCACCTGCCTCCACCCTTCTTTCCCCATTCTTCCTCTACCTTCGTCATCTCTCTCTTTATATCTCTCTCTTACAGTCGAGTGCGAACCTTGAGTTTTTTGTTTTCAGAAATATTCTAAGTGTCAAGGTCGAAATGCGCCACCTGAACTTGATATTTTGAACTATTATTTGATAATTATGAAAAACTAGAGATTTGATTTTTGAAGCCTCTTCGGGTTTTGAACCGAGAAACATCGAGCAACCTTAGTGGTAACTTAACGATCTCGGCCAACTGGCTGTACAAAAAACTTTTCTATTGGAAACATATAAGTTTCCTAAAATCTGCTATTTTGAGTGAGCAAATGGCCGAGGTCGTAAAGATACGAACTCCATTTATCTGAAAAATATATTTAAATTCACTAATTTTTCTAACTCTGTAAATAAATAAGACATATAGATAAATAATTAAATTTATTGAGTGTCAGTATTACAAAAATCGACATAATATATTAGGTTGTCAATATCTCCCTTCCG